ATCGATCAATCGATATGGAACATCAATGATATTTTATTATCTTAATTATAAGAAATTTTAAATATTGTGATAAGACGGATTAAAATAAATAATTGTTAGAATATTCACAATATGACACAATTACACTATCTTATAAACCAAATTCAGTATGTCAGGGCACCTGCTCTATGACCTGTTGTCCTCCTGTCTCTGTGTACATGATATATTAAGAGAATACAGTGTGTCCACAAAGTCCCTTCGGGGTTTTGAAAACATAAGAAACATCCTTTCACTACTGAAGTCAAATATACGAGTGTCCTCGTAAAAATTCTTATTTATAATAACAGAAAGATTAACAAAATAGCTTTTTGCCTTGTATGAAGCATGTAAACAACATGATGATGCTTTTCTGTATTTCAGTAGCATGTATAGTCATCGGCAGAAGCCAACAGAGCAGATGTGGTGACGCTTATTATTTTTTAAGAAGCACAAAACCATAACCTTGAACCATGGAGATATTCCACAGAAACATGGTCTGTATCTCCAGACCTGAAGTGGTAATGGTTTCTACTTTTTCGTAAAGCACTGCCAGTTAGCCCTGACGATGGAGAAAGCGATCACCTCTAAAACGACGGTAACCTTCAATGACAGCGTATAATAAATTTGCTGTTTCAATGGAAATAATACTTATTACATTACGCATCAGAATCCATATTGCCACTTCTTGATTCATGCCCATCTCCCAAATCATACATGAGTAACATGGAACATTATCATCATCAGTATCTTCATACTGTGTTCTGCTTCGTTCACATTATTCTCTGATCCAATGTACAATTTCCCTTTCATTACCTTTTTCATTTAAGTGTTTACCAACTTCATACATGAACAGGGATTGATCATTCAACTATGGACAGCCAATTTCAGTTATCTTTTTTAAGCCAGCAATGATTTCTTCCTGCATTTCTATTAGCTTCTTATACACATCTATCATACGCACCTAGAACAGATAAATATTTTAAACATAACCCAGAACTGTGATGGGTGGCATTATTTCACTATGTGTAAAGAATACCATATCATTTATCTTCTGTTCTAAGCAATGAAGAAATTAGGAAATATACTGATCACATAAGAACGGAGTTCTTGCCAGAATGTGACATATGCAAATAACACCAGTGACACAGTTGTCAGGGGGAAATATCTGCACCACAGAGGAATGCAGGCCTGGGAGAAGTGGTGCTACTCATTAGTATTATTATTATTATTATTATTTAGTGTTCTGTCTGACGACAGGTCCATATGAACAGGATCCTTCCATCCTTTTCTCGGACTGGGACCTGTTCATATACGTTCTTGGCAGATGATCCAGAAGTGGTTTGCCATTGCCTTCTTCTGTGTGTGAATGGAGTAATTGTTGGGATGCCACGGAGGAAAACTCCGTGTTGCCTAGACCACGGCCTTGCCCAACACAAGTTATAAATTCGGGCACCGCCGGGAATCGAACCCGACACCCCAAGATTACAAGGCCAGCGGTCTAACCGCTAGACCACCGTGGCGGTGGAGCCAACGTATATTAATTATACAATAAATTCTTATTTCTGTTCTGGGATTACAACAAAGCCAATGTACTTCAATAAGCTTTAAAACAGTTTAAGATCCAGACCCTGTGACAAAGTACGTATCAGATAAGCTGATAAGAACAGGCCTGAGTTTAAAAGACAATGTTTAAATATAAAGTCAAACTCTCACTGAACAAGGCCAGAACTAACCAGCTCTCACGTATGAGTAGTATTCTACATAAAATGCATTATGAGACAACTATATATTTTCCCCTTGTTCTAAGCATTTATAAATGAGGCCAGTTATATGGGCAAATACTAAATTAAATTAACATTCATGCATACTTTGCAAAAAGCGCAAGGAAAAAAACTGTCAATTCTATCCTTTAGAATATTGCCCTCTGTTACCACGCACATCACAGTGCCTGTATTCTCGTGTATTCTTCTGAATGAAGGAATAAATCATGGCATAATCAATGCAATGGTAGAATTATGTCAATAAGCATATAAGTTGGCTGACCTGTACTACAGAAACACACAAAAATATGCATGTCTTGTACAGGATTTGAACCCCAATTCACTCTGTATCTAAAAACCACCCTGACAAAATCAGGTCCATGAGCTGCACTTTATGATTTATGTTTCTATGGAAATTTTAACAAACACAAGTTTGAGGCAGTCAACAGCCACGGCTGTTTCACTTTATCGCCATGCGACCTTGAAAAAAATTAGTAGACAGAATTGACCATTTCTTTATACTTGGCCGCTGTGTTGTAGCGGCAGTGCGAAATATGTTAAGCTTGAAGAATGCATTAACAACGGAAAGGGAGAATTTGAATACCTCACAGCTTCTGCTAGACAAACTGTCTCAATAATAAATACAACAATAAATTTGCATTCACCTGACAATGGTCACTCCTAAAACAGCAGTGCAATTAATAAAAAGTTTATTCCTTTTGTGTTAAGGGTTGTAAACCATTTTTCTAATAGCAAGGTGTCCTAGCCAGTAAAGGCCCCAAACTTACGAAAAACTCATTTGCTGAAATTTCCTCTTGTAGTGCTGCCTCCAAGTTTTGAATTAAACTTTTCCTATACTCAATCCTATTCTTTTGGACCTGAACCTACAACCAGGAGAAAATAACATTTACGCTTATGTGTCACAGTATTGTTATTTGTGGAAAGATCTACATTAAGTCTTGTAATTTTAAGTGAGGCGGAAGACTCTGTATCCTTTAATGAAGCAGAATATTAAACTAAATTTGCCGCTTTGAGAGAAATTTCAAATATAGCTAATAGGATTTACAACACGAGAATTTTTTTGTTGAATATTCGCATCACCCGCTCTTTTGAAGATTTATAAACTTTGCAATCCTTAAATAATTTCCTTCAGTTCTACAAAAGGATATGTGCATATATAGTTTATTTGCAACTTCCTATGTTTGCGAGAAAGTATTTTAAAACTTTAAGTATTCCAAATCAAATAAACGAAGAGCTACAGAATAACATTTACGTCTCCTCTAATGTAAGAGTCGTGAATGGGGGAAGAGGCGTAAATATCAGCGTATTAAAATTCACTGAATATCCTATCATTGCATCTACATCCTTCGGTAACAAAGCTTCAATTTTGCTATCAATGAACAGTATCCTTGATATCAGTGCAAGGATCTTCATTGCATTTGTTATTTAGTGTTTACAAATATATAGTATGCATTTTACACAAATTTCATTCTTTTGTGAGTAGATAAATTGTAATGAAATTTAATATTTAGTGCCTACTACCCCAAAAAATTATAACTGCAAAGACGATTAAACAGTAAAGGCTCAAGTTCTGAATAGATCAGTCCACTCCACATTCACACAGACTATTTTATATAAGCGTTAATATATTTCCATCTACACCCACATCTTCCTCGTGGGCTCATCGTCTAAATCTTTCCAACAGATATTTCATCAGAATTTTTTAATTCTCCCATACATACTACTTGCCCTAGCCACTTCATTCTAGACGTAATCATCTCCATAATATTAAGATAATTATTCACACCAAAAACATAACAGGATGATTGAACAAAACACGTAAATTCCTCAAGCAATTTCCTCAGGACTTCTGCCGCTCTACCACGCTTAGGTCCAAGGATATTCTAATCTATATTTGAACATGGTCCTTGGACATCCTCAGTCTGTCTTATTTCTTTGATCACACAAACACTGTTTGACAGTCATGCAGAATAACAGGCAAAATTGTAGCATATTCAGACATTTCAGTTTCTTGTAATTTAAAGTGTCAATGCAGAACTACACCACTTCATACATTATCCTTACAAGCCAAATAAATTCCGAAATGTCAAGACTTTGTAACGCATCTCTGAATTGTGCATATGGGTTTTGTATATAATGGAAATGTGACATTTATCACGCTACACTCTGTACACAATCTTACTTACTCCATGGAGCCACGTCCTTCCTGGGAAGCCTGAACCAGATCAATCCAATCCATACCACCTTATCCTACTTCTCTAAGATACTTTTTAATTTTATCTGCACACACATTTTGATTTGTTACTGTTGCTCCCAAATATCTGAACTTTGCTACATTTCCAAAGGGCGCTTTGCCCTGTATTCTCTAAAATGTACAAATATTATAACATATTTCAGCTACCACAGACCCATCTTAAGCGTAACTAATTCAAGGTAGGCAGTATTGTCTTACTCAAACTTTAATCAATTGTAAAGCGTGTATAAAGAAAATATTTAGAATAAAGCCATTATATAAACTCCTTACTGTATAGACGTATATACGTCAAATTCTTATAAAATTTGTACATTTTAGAGTATCAACATCTCGTGCAAACACCATATCTATACAAGACTTTGATCTAGTAGTACTACATTAAGGATTTGACATCAACATTAAGCCAAATGTTTCCTCCATAAATGTGACAAAGCTTTGATTTTCCTCCTTCTTTAAATCAATGTTAAAATCTCCTGTCAATATTATCGGCATTGTATTAGGATCTTCAGTGGCCATAACTGAAAACATCTTTGTATAATTTCTCAAATGACTCAAAATAAATCTCTTACAATCATCAAAAATTGTGTACATCTTGTACATAGTATGATGCAACAATAGATTTCTTAATAATTCTTATATAAGATAAGTACCTGTGACATTGTAAAACGTTTTTACCAGCACAAAATTATATAATATACGATGCACTTCTTCTACAACCGATTCACAGCTCAGCTCTCTCCGCAATAATGAAAGCGGATTGTTGACGGCAGTAATGAAACACAACAATGCTGCATAAACAGATGACATTTCCTAGGTAACATAACAATGCATGCAAGCTGACCATTGTTGTCAGTCCATATTTACAAATTGTTGATATTTCCTACGTAACCATCTTACACATTTTCCTGTCACTTTTTCGTTACACTTTTTCGTAACACTTTTTTGCGGAATGACACTGACCCTTCCATATAGACGTATTTACGTCAAAAATGCCTGTACCTACCCTTAATCAAATCCCAGTTTGCCAGTCAGCAACCAGGAATCGAAATGTCAACACAGACATATATATTTGTGACCAGTTTAGCAAATAACTCGAGATGTATTTTTCATTTAAATTATGCAGTCTATATGGCAAAGAGAGTGGGAACTAAATATATAACATTTTGCTGTTCTGGGGTTCATTTCAGTTTATCGCTTTTCTTTGTACTGATTATTACCTAATTAGAACTTGGCACACATAACCTCAGAATTTTACATCATGCTATTAAATAACAAATATGCCACATATAATTTGCAGGCTTGTGTTATGATCTGTGACCAAAATAAATTAAATATATGTTATATGCACAATTGATTAATTACCTGTTATAGTGTAAAGAGCAGAATTGAGGAGGCCATAGACCGAATTCGGACCGGAGAGCCATACAAGAAGAAGAAGAAGAAGTGTAAAGACTGATCGATGTCTACTCTGGTAGTATTTATTCATAACTGAATATTTTATTAGATACTATCATGAAAGAGAAAACCATCTATAGTGTTAATGGTTACCTTGTGGTTGTGCATTCTTGAGGGGAAATGATTCTCTATCCACATACTTTGTGGTCAAGGAGACACAGACATATTCCTGCCAAACATCATTCATTTCTTGTTAGGTAACAAAAGCAGTTGGTAAACGTGGTGAATTTCAGTATATTGAAATATAAGTAAAATTTTGAACTGTAATGAATTGTCTGAAAGAACGTCCAAACAGCAAACATAATATTTTTATGTCTATTGTGGGTACATTTATGTTTATCTTTGCCGAGTCTTATTATCATATTTTAGGGTATTGATACATGTCCTGCACCTCATGAATGTCACACTGTTAAACGTATGCATGATAAGGAGGTCGTTAACCAATATGTACTCCCGAATATCCCCTGACTAAACTTGAACCCACAACGGAGTGACTGGTAAGAATATCATAGAAAGACAGTTATGTACTTTTAATATCTGGACCTAGGAGGGATTTAGTGACAGGAGAAAAATTGATAATGACCAGCTCCATACGTACTGTTCTCCGAATATTAGGAGGATGAGATAGATGTGGTATGTAATGTGCATCAGGGAGATGAGGAACATGTACACAGTTTTGGTTGGAAAAAACAAACAGAAGAGAGAACTGGATGACCGAGGCATATGTGGGAGAACAATACTAAAATGGAATTAGAGAAATTGTGGATTGGATTATCAATCTCAGAAAAAACACATGTGGCAACTTGTGAATAAGATAATGTCCATTTTGGTTCTGCAAAAGGTGGGAAATTTCTTAATGAACTGAGCATACTACCAACTTCTTGAGAATACAGTCACATTTGTGTTTCCATGTATTACCTTATTTATGCAACAATTCATGTTTTCATACACACTCAATGCAGTTTTTATTGTTAATCAAAGGCGCCTTTACGTACCACACTGCAGTTCACTACATACTTTTTGTTAATTTCTTATGTGCTTTCTCTAAATGTCCAGGCTTCAATTCTATATACCACAATTTTGTAAATGTTTAGTCTGGTATGTTAATAATTATAATGAAGTGACATAAATTAACTAAAAAATTATAAACTTATGGAATTTGTAAAAAAAATGTATGAAAATCCCTACTGTTGTATAAAACTAGCAAATTGTGCTTCTCTGATTTTGAATTGTGAATCTCCAAAAGAGAAAGTAACCTTACCATTATCAAAAGGTTCATTACTATGTTCAGAAGAGCCGGCCACTGATTATTACTGTAGGACAAAGAAATTCAATCCACACTCTGCGTTACCTTCATGGTGTGCGCTGACATTACAATTTATTGTGTTGGTAGATCACTGTCGGGTGGTAGGTAATATCCTGTGGGCTGGGCATTAATAATGGTTATATCAGGACAACTTTCATTGTTGAGGTTTGAGGAAACTATCTCTTGGGTTGTGTTCAGGGCCTGTTTGCAGCTAATAAAGTTGTGATTTTTCTTTGAAGATATTACTTGAACTATTTACTGTGATTACATATATATATATATATTACAGCATTGGCATATAGATGCCTTGATAACGATTACATGATTGAATTAAATCAGTTACAAACATGGTATGGTATTTTCTGATGCATTCCATAACACAATTTTTTTTAGGTTAAATTTGTTGACTATTATTTATTAAATGAACAAAATGGACATGTGTGGCCACTTCTCTGAAGACCAAATCAGAAAATGTTTTCGTAATTACCGTGAATATCGCCATCACTTCACAAGATAGAAACAGGACACATTTACAGGAAATCTCTTACTCCTGACTGTTTAACAAAGTTACAACCTATAACCAATAAATATGTTACAAAATGTCCTATTGGCTCAAGGGTCACAAATGCCACCCATTTCTTTTCACAACACTGACGATTTTGTTACATGTGTGAAACATTTAGTCTCAGAATTTTGATACTTTCATGTCCTTAAGTGATGAACAATGCAATAAAATACAAATTGCAGTAAAAGCACCAATATCTAAAATGTGGGGAGAAAAAAACAAGTAAATAATTTTTCCATTTATTGCTCACGTAGAATAAATGGAGCAATGTGCCATTTCCTTTAATATATGTGGTAACAGAAACTTCACAAGCAGAATATACAAAAGTGAACAATTTACAACACATAACTCAGGAATATGCATACAGATTGAAAAACTCACATGCAAATTAATATAGAAACAAATGAAATTATAAATCGATATCAAAAGCTTAATAAGGGGATATTTGAATATATAGATTAATTACGCAAAATTAAATGGTACCTTGATGAGCAGCTACTAGTCTCAGTAAGACCCATTTTAATATTACCCTACCATTCACACATAAGTCTTCTAAGTGTCTCTTTTCTTCAAATCTTCTGATCAAAATTCTGAATGTATATCTCATCTCTCCATATCCTGTCCACCTCATCCTCTTTGATTTCATCATCCTAACATTTGGTGAAGACCACAAATTATGCCATTTTCTTCAGCCTCCTGTCACTTCCTCCCATCTCTGTCCAAATATTCACCTAGCATAATTTTCTCAAACATTAAGACCTGACCTTACAAGATGAAAATCCTTAGATGTACTAAAATCATCATTATTATGTCTGCACATAAATACATTTATTTCACTTCAGTTTTAAGATGATACACCAATTAAGGAATTTATTTTACCCCTATTAGTGATGTGAACTTGGTAAAATAATATTTCATATGGTCACAAAGCTCAACGATGAAGCAGACTTGTTGAAGAGTGACAACACAGTTCTTTAACTTCAAATACAACACCTGCAGGGTCAACTGGGAGACGATTCTAATTACAGCGATCTTACTGAATGTGACAGTTAAATACTTCCACATGCCGCTCAGTCACAATTCACTGCTGTCAGTGGCACAAAAGCAATGGCCCACAGTGGCAAAGAGAAAATTGTACCGAACTACCATTACCGGCATTATGAATCTGGACATCCTCCAACAGTTCCTCATTCCTCAACTTGATGAAGATGACCAGGCAGGACGCATTCACTTCCAGCAAGACGGTGCACCCCCTCATTACCTCGGAAAAGTGTGCGAGTACCTCAACGACCGTTTCCCAGATCGGTGGATCGGTCGGGCCGCACCAATAGCACGGCCACCTCGTTCCCCGAATCTAACGCCTTTAGATTTTTTCTTGTGGGGATTTGTTACAGATCGAGTGTACGTGCCACCCTTACCTGCAAATGTGGCCGAACTCCGAACTCGAATTACCGCCGCAGTTGCCGAAGTGACACCGAAGATGCTACACCCCATGTGGCAAGATATTGACTACAGATGGGACGTCTGCCGCATAACAAATGGAAGTCACTTTGAACCATAAAAATCCGATGGACACAAAACTTGAAGTGTTTGACTACATTTCTATGTTCTGAAATTATATGTTTCTCCTATCAGTTCACCAATATCTCGCCCTCAAGTTTAAACTGGAGTTACCTAAATGGAAGAGAAGTGAAATGTGGAATTATCTGATGTTGATTTTGTGAAATATGATATATACAAGAATAAGCAACAAACATAGCTCAAACTTAAAAAAATATGTACAAAACAGACATCCAACAAACTCAACAGCATAAATTTCCACATCTCATATTTATGAAGCTCACATACCAGATTACTTTAAAATGTTCATCTGAATTCACAAACAGAACTTCAAAAATCAACTACTAACATGGCTGCTGAATTTTGCTTACAAAACGTCCCGTTTCATGCTCGTAAGTTTCTTTTACATGCTGCAAATCTACGACATGTTTATCCAACTGTCAAACATATATAGCAGCTCAGCCATTTTATTCTTATTTCTTATCAGGTTTTTTGAGAAAACTAAGAATGACTCAAGAATTTGAATATGCCCATCACAGACATTTTGTGCGATAAATCTATTTCAAAAGATGACCTCCTTTGGGATCATCTGTTCCAAGATAATGGGTAAAGATAACAGGTATTTTCGTGAAATCAGAACAAACTTACTTTTACCAAAAAATGTTAATAATTACCTGTCTCCAAACTCTATGTAACTGGGCCCATTGCCCAGTGGATACAATATTACTAGATGGGGGTCCCAACTTTTTGTTGGCTTTGATCTATAGATAGTTGGCAGGACTCCTTGGATGAGGGATTGGCCCGTCGCAAGGCCTCTACCTGTACACAGGATAGCACAACACAGAAAGACGCGGACAAACATCCATGCCTTGAGTGGGATTCGAACCCACGGTCCCAGTGACCAAGCGGCACGAGGCAAATGCCTCAGACCACGTGGCCACTGTGACCTGTAGAATATACATGGAAAACCAGCCATACCCAATAAATCTGAGGCATTAATGATGCTTCCTGCATATTGCGGGAGTCCCCAGTATGACTTATCCCAGATTTGTAAAAGATACATTGCATCACACTGAAAATAACTGCACAATCAAAGTACTGGCATCGAGTCTGTTTGCCCCATGTCGAGAGAGACAAAGAAATTCCATCCCTCGACATTTAACTTGTGAAATATGTTGCAGTTATGAGAAATGATCAGAAATAAAGTTCACAAGGTCCGTCATTAACCAACAGGAAATACAGAACATACAAAAGCTGCAGCGTAATATATCACTTTGGCAACACTGCGCAGCTAACTTACCCAGCGACAGTTCACAATTACAACCAGGTTACAAAATCCATGCAGTGATCCAAACTTTATGGATGAAAGTATCATCAGCCAAAACTGATCACCAGCTCACCAAAGTTCATGGCGAAACTCCGATGTCAACATACAACTGTCTCGGAAACAAAAGCCTTAGGGATCGGTCAACTTTGGAAATTTTTCACTTTCTTTTGACCAAACAATTTCCACTTTTAGTATTAACAAATAATTACAGAACATTCTGAATACAATTTTTTTAGGGAGAGGTACTTCTGTACATGGGAGTTAAATAAGGCCCTGTGCCAATTAGCAGACCAAAAAACACACTTCTTCTAAGTTTATGTAAATTTTATTGAAAATAAATTAAAACACTAGAAGTTATGAAAGTCCGTAATAACAAATTAAATAAATGAATAATGATATTAAGGACAGCATAAAGCAGTGCTTCCCAAACCTGGGTAAATTACCCAAAAAGGGGGTAAAAGTGGTTTTTCTTCGGGTAACGACACGCCTCGGAATACACATTAAAATTTACCGTAAAAGCGTAGAAGTACTCTGAAGAAAGAGATCGGTCATCGTGCACTGATGCTCTAAAACAGTCCTGAGTATTTATTTGATATTTAATAAATACGCCATACGCTTGTTATTAGATTCAATCATTTTTGCCGTTCTCGCACGCACGTGGAGAATTGAAAAAATATGTCTACCCCTAAACTAAAGTTAGTGAGTCTAGTTGTCTAGTCTAAACTGTAGGTGCAGTGTGCTGCTAACTATGGCGATGTGAGGTATGTATCGCGCTGGCTGCGTTTATAAATCGAACCGTACACAACTGGAAAAGGTAATCTTCATTATATAATTTTTAATTTATTTAAAATAATAAAAATTTACCTACATTGGGTAAAAAGGACTTTCTGATTAGCGGTTTTGGGTAATGAAGGAAAAAGTTTGGGAAGCAGTGGCATAAAGCATCAAAGATGCATGAGAAATGTTCTCCACTCCGGAATACGGGTTTCGCATGTTCACAACACTTGCCTGCCAGGCCGCCTTCATCACAGGGACTTTCTTAACTCTTACAAACAGTACACACCTTACACAAATTCTCAATATGGGATTGTGTAGGCAAGTACAGATTAGATATTTGTTCGTGAACTGACGGGTATCAAAGACCATATCTGAACGTCAAGCTGTATGAGCCGACTATAATAACAATTTACACGCAATAAGAAAATCAGAAAATTACATTGGTTATTTTACTATTCTGGTTCAATATTTACCTGGAGTTATAGAAAACAAGATATATACATTCATATAATGCACATAGTTTCAAATAAATAGTGAAATTACTGCGATTAAACTGTTGGTACCATTCAACCAAAAGTACTGCCAGATTCACCGAGACCATCCAATTCATCTGCGTCACCGCCGATTGCACGCCAGAATGCCATAACTACCTCCTCAGCACAGGCCTTTCTCTGATCACTTGGAAGACCTTGAACGTGCTCCTTCATGTTGTGAAGTTGTTCAAACAGGGATGAAAATCCAGCCACCCCACCACTGTCTCCTAACAACTCATCTTTAAAAACAAACAAGAGTTAAATATTATTAAGTTATAATTTATTTAATCTATATACAATCTACAAGATGCACTTGATGCGAAGTACGATGATTTATTACAAATCTTGTCCCAAATTTGAGACTTTCGCAATTAAAAATATTTACATAAATTTCAGAAATACCTCATGCCTTACAAACATTAAAAACACATTTTGTCTTCACCTTATTACAAATAATATTCTGGCTTTTCCTTCACTGCTGGAAACGTGTAAAGACTGGCACCGATATATTTTGAAGCATTACAGCAGTGGTCCTCAAGGCTTTTTTGGGTGCCCGCATTGTTACAGAAAGAGGTTATACTGAACAATGAAGGCTGTTCAACCATGAACATTATAAAATCAAAGCGCAGATCTCGACTTACTGACGCCCATCTTGACGATTGTTTGCAAGCAGCAACATCATCCTACACTCCCAAATTTGAAAAACTGTCCGATGAAATGCAGCGCCAAACATCACACTAACTTCCCACTTGAGTAATAATAATTGTACTTATAAAAGTACATATTTTTGATTGCATAGTTTCTTGTATCACTAAACGTCGTGTTGTTTTGTGTATTATTTGGTGTCCATATCTTATTTGTCCAGCGAAAAGAAAATTTGGCTTTGTTAATTGGTTGGTGCCCGCCACGATCTCATAAACTCTCAAATGTGCCCGTAGGCACAAAAAGGTTGGGGACCACTGCCTTATAGAATAATGGAATAAATGAAATGAAAATCAAAATAGAGAAACCCAACGAGTCCTGCTCACTAAACTGCATCAACCATAATAGCGTATACTAAAAAATCAATAATCACGGTAAAATAAAACATCGTCCATAAATTAAAACCTATTAACGAATGGCAATGCTTACCAATTCGGTCCTCAATGTCATTTATATTTGCACCAGTAACAGATGCATCATGTACTGGTTCACTATGTGCACCCAGTTGAACATTCTGTAAATTCTGAACTAATTCGGACACCGGGCATCTCTCACCACCCACAGTTTCACCACCATTCAACATTGACTGTACGGTTCTAGACAAATGTTGAGGTTTACCTGCAAAATTAATTTCAATACACAATAAATGCGAGAGCTGGCGTAGCTCAGTCGGTATAGTGACTGGCTACGGACTGGGCGACAGGGGTAGAGGATTTTTCCTCTAGCCTCTGCGTCCAGACCGGCTCTGGGGCCCACCCAGCCTCCTCTACAATGGGTACCGGGGTCCTTTCCCGGGGATAAGCACAACCAGGGCGTGATGCTGACCACTCACCCCCATCTGGTGCCGAGGTCAAGGAAGAGAGGAGCTATACCTCCACTCACCCCAAACGCCTACATGGCGTATAGTGGGACAGCTTTACTTACTATAAATGCCCATTTCTGTTACATACTTTACTTGTATGATGCCAAATGATCAGCACCACAGCATCTACAATGTAACTTAGTACTGACGACAAACAACAGTTACCAACAAAATCCCTTCCAGGAGATAACAAATGTACTCAAGCCACACCACATCCACATGATAGCACTTATAAAGTGCACATAAATTTTTGCAAAAAACTGTGTTGCCTCATCATTTTCCGACAATTTATTTCTTGGTGAGGGTGATTAAAATTAAGTCACGTGAGGCATTAATAAATTCATATAAAGTATAACAAACACACTACGGTGGTCTGTCTAATCCCCTGGCTAATATACAACGCAGAATTGTCAGTGTCATAACCCAGAAACTACTTCAACCCTGAAGACGGAGGGAATATATTCTTTGGAAACACTGGTAACCACCTACAAGACTATGTAATGTGACAACCCAGAAGCCACTTCAATTCTGAAAATAGACGCAGTATGTTTCTCTGAAACACTGGTAAGCGTGTATAAGATGACACAGCATCATGCCACAATCAACATCTTCACTGTTACGAGAACCTCAAATCTCACATTCTGCAAAAAAAAGTAATATGGTACTTGTTGGTTATTGCGACACAAAACGGGAGAGTCGGATATCTGGACTTGGATTGGACGGAAATTGAGCACGTGTATCAGTATACCCGCATACTCGGTTGTTGTTGTTTATTCCGATAGCCGGAAGTCGTACATAACGACGGAATTTGAAAAGGAAGGTTTCAACCACTTGAAGGTGAACCATCGATACAACTTTGCTGATCCGGAATCCGGTGCACACACCCAAATAATAGAGAGACTATGGGGATCAGCTAAATGGCGGAATAAAAAACAGAGAGGCACAGCCCGACATTATCTGGATTCATATTTAGCCGAGTTCATGTGGCGGCGTACAAATGATAACAGCGATATTTTTAGAACGATTCTAAAATCTATAAGCGAACTTTGGCCGTCGCCGAAAAGCGGATCTTTGCCTTATTTCACTTGCAAATGCATATCAAAGCCTAATAAGATGTTTACGCTATGAAATAGTAAGTGCACAATAGCGCCAGCCTAAGAAAACGATATGAAATAAAATGAATCCACACAACTAAAAGTTTTTCCATGTCGGCAATAAGGCTATCTCTTTTTCTTATGACTTTAGAGTTCATTCGTGTGGCACTTTTAATTCCTTTAACACTTTCTCCTTAGCGTTCACGATGGCACTAACAGTTTTGCGAGCTAAGCTTAGCTTACGTCCTATCTCGGCCATAGACATGCCTTGTTCACGAAGTTTAATTATATCTAACTTGGTATTTAAAGTAAGAGGCTTACGACTCCTCTTTTTATCGCTACTACCCTTTGACGCCATTGTAATTACACTGTAGAAACACAAAAATATTACAGTTTGTAATAACTTTGAAAAATTGCCAGAAATACGGAGACGCGGAGCGTACAAAAGCTGTAAACAGATTGAATCAGCGACGAGAAAATGGTGCCGGACGCACTTCTCTGACTCAGCTGTTGAGCGCCGTATTAGCGAATCGCCGTAAAGCGGGGCCCTACTGTATAATAATTTGTCATTTATTGAAATAAAATATAATAACTTTCAAGTATATGTCATTTATCCACACATATTAACCTAACTTAACCTAACCTATTTTTAAAGCGATGTGTCCCGATAACCCACAAGTACCAGTAATATATATACATATATATACACACACAAAACATGAAATGTAAATGTTCCTCTCTACCTTTCATCCGCAGATTTGGCCACAGATGAGCATGCATGGCTTGAACGACTCGTTTAATGCCAGTTGTTTCAATAAAATCTTGTTCCGCCTCCCACTCTGTATCCAGTTCTGGATTCAGCTCCACAAGCTCGAAGCCTTGCTCGACGCACCACTCTTGGGCTGAAATATTTGTCTTTACATTTAGTTACAGCCTTTGAGGAAAAAAGTAACTAATATAATGCATTTACATACACAGAATGCTTTAAAAACCTAACCAAATAAAAACTGCAAAGATTAACATCCTTTTTTTTGACTGTGTCATGTCCTGAACAAAGTTCAGATGGCCGTGCATCACACTACCATACTGCCAAACCATTAACCATGAAGTTAAAGTTAAGTCCAACTGGTAGTCTCATAGTAAGGAACTTAAACCTACCATTACTACTTATTAGTTTCAATCAATAATTGTATAACCGCCACGGTGGTCTAGCGGTTAGAACGCTGGGCTTGTAATCCTGGGGTCTCGAGTTCGATTCCCGGCGGTGCCCGAATTTATAACTTGTGTTGGGCAAGGCCGTGGTCTAGGCAACACGGAGTTTTCCTCCGGGGTTTCCCCGGGGCATCCCAACAATTACTCCACTTTCATCATCATCTCGCAAAAAGGGGGTCACAGCAAGAGCGTTATATGTCGTGGTCCCGATCGAACCCATGTACTGATGGGTCGTGAATCCTGCTAACCACCAATGCACACCATGCTGAATGGTGTGTACTGGACACTAAGTTCAAGTTATGAAGAGTGATCTTGTTCGCCATACACGGGCAAAGAGTGAATGGGAAGTGAAAAGAAGCCATTGCTTAATTAGAAAGTTAATTACTGCAATACGTGTGACTGTAACCCAGTGTATTTAAAACAAAGTACCTGTCACTCTACAAACTCCAACCGATGGGTTCTCATGACATCTTTCACACAAAAGTATTTGTACTTCTGGCTCAAATTCTTTAAGGAATGAAAGCCAACTCTCCACAGCAGCTAAACCATCATTCTACAATTAAACACAAACAAGTATCAAGTAAAGTCAAAATAAAATGCACTACAGTAACCTGAAACAACATTAAGCAATAAAACAATTACTTCAGATCTTCAACCCTTCAAGTTCAAGACTTTCCCTTAACTCGAAACAGCCGAGCCAGGTGCCCGAGTCGTCCACTTCCTTCCGCATAACACAAATTTAATTAGATGTTTGTTTATACTGTTGACAAGAACAGGCTCACCAACATATTTTTTAGTGTCCCTTCCTGGGGCAAAGTGCGGCTGGGACATGACGTTAACCACTCACCCCCATCTAGTGCTGAGGTTAAGAATCAGTAGGAGCTATACCTCTTCTCCCCCCCAAGCGCCTACATGGCGTACAGTGGGAAAGATTTACTTTTTTTTCAGTAATTTTTAGTCAGTGAAACAGAGAAGGAAAAATTATTTCTGGGGTGACTCAGTCAGCCCATGCCTTTCCACATTAAACTTTCACTTCCTGTCACAAAACTAAAACCACGGTGTCTCAAACAGAGGCAGCTCGCACAGATGTGAGAATGAATAAAAACTAACGGCAGACGTCCTCTAAATATTTCTATGGAGAAGACAATGAAACAAAGAGGTAAAAAGATGTGTTCCCTCAAAATGTTCGTACCATAGCTACAAATACAAATTCTCAAAGACTTGGACCTAAACAAAATGCTAGGATTGCAAGTTCTAAACCTGCATGTTTTTCAATATTTTTTGATATTGACAATTTGGACTTGATCACTCACTGTACAAATATTTGTATTTGTTCCATTCAACAAATGTCTCCAGACAAAGGGATGCTAGGGGGACAACACAAGAACTTCAAACAATTATCGGCTTCCTACATCCAAATCAAGAAATCTCAGTATCAATGAAAGTTTGGAGAGAAGTGAAATAGGTATAATTTTTATTCAGTGTGCAGTGTCCAAGAAAAGAATTTCAATTCTGCTTCATGTTTTATGTTTTGACAATATCATGGACATACAAGAAATAAGTTAGGTTGATAATTTAGCTCTTGTTTGACAGATTAATTTTAGATGATTTTGGGGCTGTGACTAAAACAGATGAATAAACTGGTTGGCTTCAGAGTAAGATGTAGATTATACATGCATGTGTAATAAAAATTCCAGGTTTAAACTTCTACCAGACTACACTGTGCAACAACCAAAAAGACAGCCATCTTCAGACTCACTGTCGTGAAAACCTCAAATCCTATAGGTTTAAAATACATGCCCATACAGATACAAGAGTATGATATACAATTTATGCTGTAAAATAACTGCAAGGGGTATATAGTGTTTCAAACAGCACCTACGATGTGGTGATATATCTAGTGTCATCAACAGCTAATTCATGTAGAATTGTGACTATGGAAAATTGGTTATGTAGCATAAAATATGCACCAGACATTTTAACAAAAAGATAACAATGACTGATAACAAGAGTGAGATATTTCCACAATTTGTAACTACTAGTAGCAGAGAAGACTGTAGCAGTCAGTTTAGATTTCAAGAGGACATGATAACTGTCTTACATCATTAGCAAAAGGGGGTTACACTGTTATCTATTATGCATTTTGGAGGAACCAATGATCCAGGGTGAGAAAGAAAGCCTGAAATAATAACAGAACATAATAATCCAAATGGTAGAGTTGACAAAGTGGATGAAATGGTCAAAAAGTACAGTTTCAAATATATGTAGAAGACCCAATCAGAAATATCACCATTATTGTATATATCACACAATAAAACTCTGTAAGAAAGCAGTTCTTTGTACAACTACTTTCTGAGGCATTTCTATGACTAATTTACACATAGTGGCCTCCACACACTTCAGAATACTTAAGATAAAGCAAACAACTTAAAAGACATTTACAAAATTCAACATCTTTCACAATACACTGAGATTCATGAATACCTTGTTACTATCAAAATGTATAACAACCGCTTCAACAGACATAGCAAACTGCTCACTACCCAAAGTTTTCTTTTCGACAGAGCACAAATTGACATCTGTGGTATAATACTTTGTATCAATATGCCAAGGATAGGCATAAATTCCGTCTTCTATTTGGCTTGGCTTGGGAAGTTCATCAACGCCCAATATCACTGAAACGAAATAGCCAAAAAGAGTGTATTTGCAATATAATTAAAGACCAAAGAAATTTGTAGGCATGGCACACATGTGGATAATTACATTTGATTATTTCTTGGGGATGGGTACTTGTGCAGCTCGCTATTACAGCACAAGGTTTTGGTTCCATAGTTTAAAAACAAAGCAAAAGTAGTTTCTAAAATAAAAATGACAGCTCAATATCCTGCTTCCATTAGTTCAACAAACATGGATTCTTACTGCTCCAGTAAATTCTGAACAATTACTTGTAACAGAGAGGTTACTACAATCCACCTACGCTCTGCTACTCACACACTGAGCTTTCCTCAACCAATACGGCCACAGATTAAAACATATGGTAGTGCCACAACCTCTGTGGTAATCAACTGTGGCCGTAACCCTGTGATAAAAAAACAAAGTATAGAATTTTAATTTTCAATGCCAGAGATTGTCCTATTTCGGTTGTGTTACATTACCATATAACAGGCTACTTAATTGTGATACAATAAAAGAGTGATAGGAAAAATACTAAACAGTTCAGACCACCGTTCTCTGGTAACATTTAACGTGCTGCCAACCTCACTGCTGTCTATTCTATACATATCACTGAACTCTATACCATGGGTGCTTCTGTGATGTAGTTGTACTATTTGGTTCCATTATTGTATTAATTATATTTGTAATACTTCGGACCCTCTACACAGTTTCCGTAATATGCTACCAAAATGATATGGCCAGACTTCATACAGGCCTCATCTTCCACAACCACAAATGTTCTGCAAGACATGACCAGTACCTTGGATTTGGTGTCAATATTTGACTGGTGTATAAGATCACCTAAGAAATCTACAATCTTCTTTTACAAGGCATGCATTGTACCAATTCTTGATTCAACGAATATCCACATTCATGTTTTTACGAGATTTGAAGTTCTCATGGTGAAGATACTGATCTTCCACATTCAAATACTGCATGGACTTTTAGGTAGGCACAAACATTTTAGAAGACCACACTGCCTCAAACTTCAGCTTAAGTTCTCCCAAAAATTTACTGTCTAAAAAATTCAGTGTACAACCCACACAACCAATAATAAGTTATTCTTGCTCACTAATTCTAATTGAGAAATTCCCGGCTTACATTCCGAAACAAATTTGAACAGTGAACTTCTTTACCTCCATTTCAGATGATGTCCAGTGTTCTGTAATAAAGTTGCTATGTGTAAGTGCAAGACTATTTTCATGCTCTAACATCTGTTACAATAGAGAGTAGCCAATAAAACATTAATAGAATGATAAAAATTCTTCTATTTATAATTCAGCAAGCTTAATATGCATCATTACATTAAATAAATGGATAGACCCAGGAAAGGAAGATGAACAAAACAGAGAAGGGAAAAGTGACCACACATATAATAATACAGTCTTAGAAGGGGATACAGGAAAATGGGGAAGTCTTTGTCACCAGATGATACATTCTTATTGAAATGACAATGGATGATAATTTAAAAAAATCACTATTTATTTTCTAAAACTGACTCAACCTACCACACTCATGTACTGGAGCTGTCCAATCTTAGTCTTGGCTGGAATGTTAAGTGGAAGACAATATTCCTTCTTATCTGTGGACACAATGAATGCTTACCATAGTCTTGGCTGGAATGTTAAGTGGAAGGCAATATTCTTTCTGATCTGTGGACACAATGAATGCTTACCGCTATGAGCCTGACTCACTGACATTTTAAAGGTAAACTTATCTTTTTATAATTTTAATTACCCTCTTAAAGGTTAAGAGTTAAAATGGAAAGCCCCGAGGGACACTAATAAGATACCAACAAAAACTGTAATAAAAACACCAGCATTAATTTCATCATCGTGTAATTGACCATAAAGGACAGTTAACTAGCATAAGTATCATTCAGTACAAATCACAGATCTCTGTAACACTGAAGAAATTATTAACATCTTATTAAGTTAATATCAGAGTTAAAACACAGCATTTAAAAACACATATGACATTCAATCACAAACAGCATACATTTAAATCATAAAATGAACCAATATTCCACACTGCTGGTAATTTAATTATTATCAGATCCAAGCAGGATTAAACACTGACTCTTTCACTGCCAAGCTCAAGCACGCCCATTTCCTAGATAAAGCCGATACCAAATATAATAAAAACTGTTGCATCATATTTATTGAATTCTAGCAACAGACTGCAAAGAATGAAGTTGGTATGACAGCTGACCTTACCTAGCAAAGATCATCAGAACTACAACCAAAAACATTAATTCATGTATCAAATACCATGCTGAAAACTATAATTTTACAAAACCAAACTGGAGGTCAGTTCTTCAAAACTGAGGCAGTGAAAGTGTTAGCACCAGAAGGGTATTACGAGGGGCAGTCAAAAAGTTCCCGTAATTGTGGTATAGCATTGTAATGGTAAGACATATGGCAACACTTACCTAATCACCTTCAAAGTAGGACCCTTGTGCACACACACACTTGCTCCAGCGATCCTGCCATTGTTCGAAGCACCGGCGGAAGGCTTCGTTTGGAATCTTCCGGAGTTCAGCCGTTGCATTCGATTTGATGTCCTCCATGGTTGCGAAACGCGCCCCCTTGAGGCCCATTTTCAGAGTAGGGAACAGCCAGAAGTCACTCGGAGTGAGATCCGGAGAGTATGGTGGTTGGGTGATGATGGGAATGCTTTTCTTGGCGAGGAATTGCTGCACAACCAGCGAGGTGTCGAATGCGACGGCCGAACTCCGCCGGTGCTTCCAACAATGGCAGGTTCGATGGAGCAAGTGTGTGTGTGCGCAAGGGTCCTACTTTGAAGGTGATTAGGTAAGCGTTGCCATATGTCATACCATTACAGTGCTATACCACAATTCCAGGAACTTTTTGACTGCCCTACGTATATAAATTCAATGTACCGTAATACCATCTTCTAAATGCATCAAGTTGTTGACAACCATTTGTCTCCTTTGTATATACATTGCTTTCAAAATTAAGAAGGAACTAACTGATAGTAAACTTACAACAAGGAGGAATACGGAATTCCAGCCATACATATCTGACATGAATCCTATCAGTGGGCCTTGGATTACAGCTCCCATGCTGCCAAAGCCATTTATAAGACCAGCGACTGCTGCGCCTACATTACCACCATCCTTCTCACCAATTTTCACTGCGACAGAGCCACCAAGGAGTGCGTCTAATCCACACACACAAGCGCCACCTACGCTTAGCATGACAGAATTATAAGCCATTCCCCATACAGCAGTAAACATGAAGAGGAGGAAACCAGCTGTTCCAGCAACAGTGGCAAGTAATGCAAGCACAAGGGAATTGTAACGATCGGCTGCAATTCCGAGGAACACGCTACCTAAAATGCCACCAACATCAAAAAAGGACACCAGCAATCCTGTATTGGCTGCCGAGTAATTTAGTTCCTTCATCAAATAAACAGGAAACCACAGATAGATAAAATAGCGGACCACCTTGTTACACAACATCGCTACTGCCAATTCCAATACCATGGGCAAACGCCATAATGCAAGAAATGAATTCACCTTGTTCGACGAGGCTGTCTTTTCTTCTACCGGCTCTTTGCCTGGTATTATAATTTTATAATCTTTGGGCATTTTTAACATCAACCATGCTACTACAGCCAACATCATTACCACCACAGACAAGGGGCAATAAACAAAGCGCCAGCCGTATTCACTATAAAGATATCCTGCGAGTCCTGAAGCAATTATGCTTCCACCATATGCAGATGTATTTATAAAACCAAACACAGAATTAAGTTTGTCATCGGAAAACCAAGCTGATACGCACTTACAACAAGCGGGCCATATCGGACCCTGAGCAGCTCCATTAATGAAGATCAATATCAAAAGGATCCCAAAATGATCCCACGATCCAAACGAAAACATACTTATTCCAGCAATGCCAAGGCATATGGTCACGGTATGACGAGGTCCCATGCGATCGGCAGCTGAACCAAGTACCATCTGCGCCAGAGAGTATGGCAACAACATTGCTGTATCAAGGCAGCCAAGCTGTACCTGGCTGAACCCTAGATCTTCCTTCATTCCCACTTTTAATGCTCCTAGCGGTTTGCGGACCAGGTACGTTGCTCCATAGAGCACCCACACGCATATGAAAGTAAATATCTGCAGAACTTTTAATTGAGCCATTACGGACAGTTTTTCACAAAATATGTTTCAGCGATAAAAACAGTTTCTGATCTGAAGTCATTGAGAGTTTCCATACAATCCCAGTAACACGCCTTGAGTTACGACATCAGGTAAATTACTGTTCTCTTCTACTTGCATGTATGGATCCTTCTTATAATTATATATTGGCTGATGGTCCATAGATTTATCTTCAGCAGCAAAATCCATGCATCTGCGAAGAAAACAGTCATATAATTTTTTTTACCAATTTTAGTTTTTTGGTCGTCTTCAATCACCATTATACTTTCTGAAAAACTGCCAAGTTTCAGGAGATGGGTCTTCCCCCCATCCTCAGGTGAACTTACACAGTTGAACCCATCAGAAGTAGCTAATCTTGATCCGCGGAAAATGAGAGATGAGCTCGCTAGCCTATATAATCCAGCTGTGCAAAATTCTATTTGTGGTTAATAACATGTAAGATAAATATTAAATATTTTGGTTGAAAGGCCTACATAATTTTAACAATTTATATGAATTGTCTGGGGAATAATTTTAATGCTCAAAACTTAACAAATTAATAATTAGTGACTTTTAAGTTCATTGATATACAAATGGAGAAAAACAGATGTACAATGCTACCAAATTAATAATTAACCCTGTGAACAGTAGTAAAAAAATGTTTGGAAGCTGTATATTAGCCAAGATTGTCAAAATTTGGTCACCCATGCAATATTGTGTCCCTTTTTTTAAGAAGTATTTTTTTAAAACTGAAAACTAAACCAAAGAAACAAAAAATAATTCACCGTTACAAACGAAGGCTCTTCTTGCTGCCCATACTTACCAATCCTGTATGCATTTAAAATCTTAAACTCTTTCATAATTTCCAATTTCAGTAAATTAGCACAGGATTCCCAAAGTTTCCCATAATATTTACATACAGAAAAATGTTCTCTGAATTCAAAACAATGTAAATTAATAATACAGGAATCGTCATATGTAAAAATGCACATAACATAAAAAATAAATAAAGACAAACTTCTTAAGTATTAAAGTGGAAGAGAACAAAACAGAAGTAACTTTAACATCTAGGATGTCTTTAATAAAGCACATTATCTTATTTTGAAATTAATATCAGCTGACGCAACTCATCTTCAAAGCACAATTACTTGAACAACACATCACAGCCTCCCGAGACAGATGCAGAAGATAATGAACCAAAAATATGCTGGCTTTCATGGTGCTATCTCTCAGACTTTGGTCATAAGAACGTTATCAAGAAAAGGACTAGTGACCTCGTATGATGTTAAATTATTGAGTTTCATGCATTCTTAGTTACTATGCGGCAAGAACAGACTGTGTGTTTCAGTTTTCTTTCAATCTGTTTTTAATGCATTTCCCCTTTCTTCGTATTATTGCCATATGAAATCAAAAACAATATATTTGCAGTGTATCGACTCATATTTGCAAATAGTGTTGATTTGAACGTGGCAATAATTGTATAAAGTGAAGCTCTCGCGGCGACCGAAGTTGATGAAAGACTCTCAGGCTACAAGCTGCTTCAAATGGCTGAAAGGCGAATAAACCTTATCTTCTGCCAACGTTCCTGAAATTTCTTGACACTTCAACAAGTCACTATTTTCTTTCTTATGCCCTTAAACCTTATCTAGGAGCAATGATAGGGGACCAAGGGATGTATGGAATTGAAACAGAGGAAAGAATAAAACTAGGAAGGAGACTCATAGGAGCCCTAAACCCAATATTATGGGACAAAAATATCACAAAAAGAACGAAAGAGAGAATATATAAAACGATGGTACAAAGCGTGGCACTGGAAGACCGAAGTAAAGGTCAAGAAACGGAAGAAGAAGAAGATGCCCTTAAAGCTCCCAACTTATTTTATTTCATGATTATTATATTTTATCTTTCCCATGTCCTATGTCCTCCAGCTTACTTTCATAATCACTCATTTATGTAAACTGACATTTAATTCAAAATCTTTACATGCTGTAACAACCTTTGTATTTTCTTTTCTACAATACTTTCTTTCGGAGACCTAGTCCATGACACCTCCAAGGTACGTGAAAAAGTCTTGCAAGGACCCTGAAAATGAATGGCTAATGATGCTACAATAACAAACGCCACATTCAGCAGGCCGATGGTGGATTTTGAGCCTGCTCTCAAGAAACAACCTAGCCTCGGTATCCCACATACTCATATTAAATCTCACTTTACAACAGGGCACAAAAGGGTAAAAGTTAAAGGACACAGTCTGGAAACTTTCCGATCGCACCTCGTAGGCGTACAGGGGAGAGGAGGTATAGCTGCTACTAATTCTCAACCTTGGCACTGGATAGGGGTGAGTGGTCAGCATCACGCCCTGCCCGCGCTTTGCCTCAATCACACATATGGGGATAAATCAGAGGAGCTAGAAACAGCTGTACCTACCTACACAAGACAATGAACACAGTACTCTGAATAAAGCAACAGACCAATTTAAATAAAACAAATTATACTCTGCTCCATGCAAAGCAGAAGAGGTAAGTCAGTGCTTTTGCTGCTATTGTCTTTATTTTAAATTTGTGACTGTTAATGTTTGTTTTCCCCTTATAAATAGCTTTAAACAGACACGGCAAATGAACAATGGCCTCCATTATAAACTCTGATGAAAATTAACCCATCAGTTTTAGGGTTATGAGAGAAAGCAGGTGGTGGGTGAGCAAGGACCTTCAATATAAAGTTAAAATGGTTCTCGAGTTCGAGATAACAAAGCGTAAAAATATCTTGTTGAATATATTGAAAAAGGATGGACACAAAATGTGGTTATTCTTTCTACAGCTTTTGTTTTTGAAACATTTTTGATTCTGTCAATTATTTAGCAAGTTATGGACAAAAGTGTCCATAATTATTGTCCCAGTTTTAACCAAAATTCAAATGTGTTCAGTAAATTTTAGTAAAGCTCCACAATATCAGATTTAATAAAAATCTGTTCTGAAGTTCTTGGGTTATTATATATGGACAACTGAACAGACATGGAAAACTAATAGGTGCATTTTTTAAATTGTTAGCCACAAATACATCAAAAATACATTTGTGAAGTGCTAATTTTCTTCAGGTTGTTACTGGCAGGGTTGTAGAGCCAAGAAAGAACATATATATATATATATATAATAGATCAACAAAACATTTCCTGTATTATGTATAATATCCAATTACAGCCAAACACAGAAATAGAAACCAATGTATGATACAAAAAAAACAGTAAGAAGACACAATATAAGTAAAAGGGCTAAATAATATGCATAAGTGAAATATACTCTTTGTTAAAGATGTCGATGCTCTTACAGACTGCATTGGCAGAAGAAATACACCTAGATGAAGAACTGGCCTTGATACTATGATGAATGGAAAACATGAAGTATTCTCTAATGGATCTGGAGGAAACTCAGAAGCAAACTGAATCCAAAAATGGATGGGCAGCAAATCTTGCTTTAAAAGTAATGAGAAAAGAGCTTCAAGATGCCTCCTCAGGTCAAGTGAAAGGAAATTTAACCTAACTAATATTTCTCCATATTTATAGTTACATAGGCCATTAAAGAATCTGGTATAACATAAAGCTATAAATTTCCTTTAGTTTAGTAGATTCAGTGGTAGTAATGGAAAATAATAATGTATGAATAGCAATAATATAGCAGAAAAATAATAAAAACAACAGAAAAATTGGAAAAGTTGCTATAGCATCATTATATAAACTAGGAAAAAAAAATACTTACTCAAGACTGTCTTTCAATTTCTTTACCCCAAGAAATGCCAGTACTTCTGCTCTACTTGGTCCAAACCTGAACATTGCCTGTAAATACTGTTCCAGAGTCTGTCTTCTTCTTTCCAGAACCTTTGGTTGACAGCTACGTACCCTTTTTGGTGGAAACAATGGGGTACTATAGCATTTTCTCAACTGGTAACCAGAGGAAGACATAGGTGGTATTAAAACAGAATATCCAAAACTGTAATGCACTACTACCAATAACCCTTGTTATTGTCCTGGACTCGTATGATAAACACGTTTCACCGTCATAAATCGACTGCAACATATATTCTTATTACAAGAGAGAAGGTTATTTGAATGAGTATTTTATTCGTCTGATACAGTACACGTCATTATGTCATTATTCCATGAAGCATCATTTGTATCAATTTAATACCAGAGATTGATAAAGATGCAATCATACTATGTCATTACTTTAAAGATTTATATAACTCAACATTTTACTTAGTATCAGAATTACCTCTCTGTGGAGACAGTGGAATGCGCTGTAACGCCTTTCAACTCGAAGATGTTCACCTCCTTCCAACACTTCTACAACATAAACATAATGGGGTTTCTGTGGTGGTTCGTCCACTAAACGATAACGAGGTATAAATATTTGGGTCATTGAAATGCTTCTTAAAATCTTAGGCATGATGTATGCATGTTACGTCACTTTTAAATATAATTACATTTTTTGTTTCTACTGCGTTATAATATCCCTACTAAAACATAACAAAATCATACGAGTTCCCTTATACCACGGTTTATAGAGTAAGAACTACCGTATATGACAGAGATGTATCTTCAACACGACACTGAACTATAATACAGGGAACGGAAACAGGAAAGAAGTGAAAGGAATTCCTTTGTAGTACATGGTGGGTGATCTAAACAAAATTCGGTGTGTTTGAAGATTTCTTGCTTGTAACGAATGGCAAATCCTTCGAAACGACCCGGCAGGCTTGTTAAAGTGGTATGATAATAAGTCTCAAATTCCTGGCAACTACGGTCAATATCCAGATCCGATGTTTCGTGATTCATAGTCATTTAAGCTACTTTAAAAGATAAAACAACTCATCCTGGGTGAGGAAAATACATGATGTAAAGGCAAACTACACACACTAGTTAACCAAATGACGTTGGTTTCCTTTGGACCACACAATAAAGCTGATGAAAATGGTTGTCTTCCGGGTTGTAGCACCATGTAGTCTCGCAGCAGTTCACAAACGATTCAAAGGTCTTTGCTGGGTCCTTCAAAAGGCCCCATCGCCGCCATGAAATGTTGGGAAGCTTCGACTAAGCTATACAGCGTTACAACCCAGAAGACAGTCATCTCAATGTCACTTCTCAATTTGTACACTTATTTCTTTTACTTTAAAGACAAATTTCACAGCCTTTAGCCTTTATTAAATTTATATTTTTTAACTTTTTACATGCTGGCAAACTTAAGGAAAAATTGACAGTGGAACCACGGTTCTTGAGAATCAGACGTAAATACGCAAACGTAGTTTTGGGTGAAGTGGGATGCGCCTTTATTTGTCCTTATTTACTGATCGTTTTACATATAGGTTACATTAACCTTACTCTTACCATTCCTGAGGAATGAACGTTTAACGGTGACTCGGCGCTGGATCTTACACATCTTCGTAATGAACGAATGACCCTTCCATATAGACGTATTTACGTCAAAAGAAGACAAGCCTAATTCTCTTACACGAGTTCACAAATGCAGATGAAAATATTAAATGTGATGAACAATAATAATAAATAGGAATCCCTTATCTCAAACTTTGTTCAATTGTAAGAGACCACGATGCCCACAGGCAATGATCAATTTAATCAAAACTAAAATGGAGAGTGTGGAGGGCAGTATCACAGATTTCTTAATAATTCTTTTATAAGATAAGTAATAGTGATATTCTAAAACGTTTTTAACAGCACAAAATTATCTAGTCTACGACGCACTTCTTCAAGCGATTCACAGCTCAGCTCTTTCTGCAATAACGAAAGCGGATTGTTGACGGCAGTAATGAAACACAACAATGTTGCATAAACAGATAACATAACAATTAGTTTCTTAGGTAAAGGAGTGGATTGCAATATGGTTTATACAGGAAATTATACAGAAACAAATTTATTGAAGTGTAATAAAAGATTTCCTTCTAGGATTCCCACTGTTCCAAACATCTTACGAGTATATACAACCCTGCAGAATAAGATTAGCTTTTCAAAGATCTATTTTTCTGTCTCACTTTATCAGCTATGACTTTGCAGAAAACAAAATAGTTCCTACTGTGCCTGTGCCTGTCCCATAAGTAATAAAATTTTATGCAAAAATGTTTTTAAATTCAGATTATGATACAGATATACTGTTTGGTGTCTGAGTCAGCTAAATATCTGCACGAAACTGAAATGATTTGAAATTTTATGCTCTTTTAGTTGATACAGAATAAAAAAATCATTAAATTTACAATTTTTGAGAAACAGAATTACTTTCAAAATAATAATAATATTAATCTGTAACTTACAAGCAGTATGACCACCACCCTTGTATGTGAGAATCACATTAACCATTAATTTATAAAATAATTTGCAGTAAACAGCAAAATAATACAAAATATCTTCACAATTCACTACAGATACAACTGCGTTAGAGTTTACCATTACACTGCGTAGAATTTTATTTTAGCAATACAAATTTTGCACAAATTCTAGAATAAAAATTAGGGGAGGAAAAGATCAATAATGCAAGTAAATATTGCAGTTCATACAAATTTCTCTGACCATTTTACTGAAGGGAAAAGGAAGACAGAGAGTAATATGAAGACATGTTTCAAATACTTCGCGAATTTTCCACACGCAATCCCCATGCAAGAGCAGGATCATGTAGTATCACAAATAAATACTTTTTAAGCAAACTCATGGTTGATGATATTATATTTATAATTTTAAATTTCTTTTCAATGTTATTACAGTATTATTTCACTTTCCAGTAACAAAAAGACATCACAGAATTAAAATTTAATGTTGACAGGTATTTGATCGGGAACATCGTACATATTTCTCACATTTCATCAAAGAAAAAAAAAAGTCATTCACTTACACATTTATTATTCTCGATAATGCAACTACCGCATAAAACAGGTCAGATCTGCACGGCTTTACAACAATTCTATACCATAAAAGATAAAATCAATTAAAGTTCCGGAGTACATTCCGAAATCAAATAGAATGACATCTGCACAGAATAGGAATATTCATTATTCACACGTCAGATTTAAAATAAGTGAGAATTTTCATTATTTCAGCACTCAGTCGTGTCAATAACGACTCTTGAATGGCTCGTTAATTTTCTTAAAATCAATAAGTAAACTAGCAAAGTAACTAAACACATTTGTGTATGATTCATACCTCCTCGATTCAGTAAAACTTCAAATAAATTCCCAACATACCGTGACCAGTAAGCTGCCAATTATTTCTGAAACAGGTACTCCAAGTTAGTGCATCAACGGGGATAGTTATATTATACTTGCTTTTATATAAAATAACAAAACACAGCTGTACATTACTTCATTATACTTACAATGGAAGACTAGAGTTGAAATATAAAGGTATCTAAAACTATCCTCCCTGGTTCAAATTTGTATAAGCCGCAGATTCGTTGGATAGAAAAGTCCACCTACAAAATAAGAACTTTCAATCCAATGGCTACCGGGGTCCTTTCCCGGACGTAAAGCACGACCGGGGCGTGATGCTGACCACTCGCCCCCATCTAGTGCCGAGGTCAAGAAAGAGTAGGAGCTATACCTCCGCTCACCCCACGCGCCTGTATGGAAAGTAGCGGGACAAACTTTACTTTACTTTTACTCAATAAGGTAGCATTAAACTTGTTCACGATTTACAAGACGCTTCCCTACCAGTGGTAGGCGTACACCGCACTTTATTGTGCGTAGTGGCTAGCACACCTCCATCATATTTCGGAGGTCCCCGATTCTAATCTCAGCTGTAAAACTGGGGGTCCTTATTGCAGTGTTCACGGTATCACACCAGACAAAGCATGATGAAGACCTAGGGGTAGGAATATATTAAAATGTATCTTGACGAAAGTGTAGGCGTGTATAGACTGGATACATTTGGCTTGGTATATGTCCCCACTAAATGGTACCCACACATTGTCGTGGTTGTGGGGCTTGAGTACCTCAGTGACCCCAAGAGCTATGCTGGCGGTAGCATAACTACTGGTAGGGCCTCCCTAGCCAGATTGGTCGAGGGGGAGAGGTCAGACTAAGACAGGTACCCTGGTCCCCAGGTTGGGGGGTTGATCGCAAGGCTAACAACCTTGCACTGTAAAAAGGAAGATGTTTCGAAACCTCAATCAAAGCCTCGGACAGACAGACCTAACAGAGGACCGAATGGAAGAGGAGAATTGTGGAGGCCATGGACCGAATATGGACCGGAGAGCCATAGAAGAAGAAGAAGAAGACTTAATGAAGGAACAAAATCAAACCGAAAGATATTAAACTATAACTACTTGTACTTGTGGGTTATCGGGACACATCACTTTAAAAATAGGTTAGGTTAGGTTAATATGTGTGGATAAATGACATATACTTGAAAGTTATTATATTTTATTTCAATAAATGACAAATTATTATATTTTATTTTGATATGCATGAGATGTTAACTGTCTCCGGAGGCCAAAATTCGCTTATATATTTTAGAATCGTTTTAAAAATATCGCTGTTATCATTTGTACGCCGCCACAATTTGTTCCATTACAGTATACTGATATGCATGCACAGTTTTCCATCCAATCAAGTCCAGATATTCAACTCTCCCGTTTTGTGTCCGGATAACCAACAAGCACCCTAATTTGGTTCTATTTTTTAAGTGCTAATTCACATCACATCATGCAAGTGGTAATGGCCTTATTAAAGATACTCTTCCAACATTTGCTTGCAAGGACTGAGGAAAGCCATGAAATGCCTCAGCCAGGATAGCCAGTTGAGACTTTTAACCCAAAACTTCCAAAATACAAAGCAGCAGTATTAACAACTTGACCACGTTTGGCGATAATTTTATGCCATGTACTTTGTATTAATGTAAATATCTGCCTCATACCATTTAAATTTCTGTAATCATTAAGATGTGATATTGTAACGAAGTACATTCTTTTACTTACCACATTATAATGAACGGAACAATATGTAACACAGCTGCAAAGTGGAAAATGAGTCCCTTCTGAAATGTTCTGGTAATCGGATACAAACTATTAAACACAAGCGATCCGAGGAGCGTACAAATATTCTCCACACATGCAACAAATGCATACATTTTACCTGAAAGCAAAAGTAAGTCATTAAGTTATTGCAACCATTTTCTTTTGCTGTTTAATTAGCATTAATATAAATGACGAAATGTATTAAATATGTGGAGCACGTTATGGTATTAAGAAGAAGATATACGATCACATATTATTTATAGAAACAGAAGATGACAGACAAAGAATCTGCATTTCGTTAATAGCAGAACAATAAGATATTAAAATTCTTGATAAATTCTTCTTAAGAATGTCACTTGTGGACAAAAGCCCAATGTTTTGGAGACCAGATCTACCGCCTCATCAGGAGAATAATGTGAAGGTTTACCACTGGTAATATTCATGTACATGGTCAAAGTTTCGCTGTGACATACAATGGACGACAAGGAATAGCGGCCAAATCCATCTTAAAAACCATCGTCGTACGTGAACTTCATTTGCCTGATGGCAGATGCGGAGATGGTCTCTGAAATATTTTGGGATTTTGTTTGCAACCGACAGCGAAGAAGATTTTATCGAGTTCAGTGATCATGAAAGCTTCAAGTCTTACATACAAATTTTTGTTAATAAAAGCAGTGGCTTTCAAAGAGAAAGCCACGTTCGTCATGGCATTGTTTTTGCTCAAATATGTTCTTTTTAAAAATATGAAGCAAAGATTTTTTGCAGAGATGCAAATGTTATGAAAATGCAGTACCTCAATAGCTAATAAATTGTTGTTTTTAATTTGTACATATTTCCTGCAAATATTGATAGTTTCCATGACAATATTTAATAAAGTCAGCTCATTTAAAAGGAAATTTAAATTTATCACGTTTATTTATGGCTTACTTAATGACAGTGATAATAGATCAGCTTAAACAATGTTGAATAACAATGATAGTGAATGATGGATGACAAGGATTTGGAAGGAAGGAATTTGAGGTACTGTCCTCACATTTACCAGAAGGAACTGAAGAAATATCAGTCAAGATAGTAGTTTCTAGGTTTCGTAGTGAAACCTAGACCTTCTGAACACAAAGCAGTGACGCTAGTTGCTTGGTTGTGACATTCGGTAATGAATTATATAAAAATGCCAATTAAGGAAACATTTTTAAAACAAGTTAGCAAATGTAGGTACAGCAGGACAATTACGGCATGTTCATAAGGATTAGATTTTTGTCAGATGAAATGCTTTGATCGAGGTTTCGAAACATCTTCCTTTTTACGGTGCAAGGTTGTTAGCCTTGCGACCAACCCCCGACCTGGAGGACCAGGGTACCTGTCTTAGTCTGACCTCTCCCCCTCGACCAATCTGGCTAGGGACGCCCTACCAGTAGCTATGCTACCGCCAGCATAGGGTAAGGAAAATTACCACTTACAAATAACGCTCCTTCATTGCTAAGTGTCTTCTTGGTTGTTGTGAGAATACACTAACTTGTATATTTAATCAGACAATTAATATATACTTTAAGTGGCAAAGTGATCTATAACCACTGTAAAATGTGTTACAAAAAAAAATTAATTCAATGGTATTCAAAATACACATAATGGACTAGGACATAAACATGTTATCATTCAAAGGAGAAAGATTCTAGTTGGAATAGTTCACTGCATGAGAAAACAATGAATCATTTAGTATCACACCTTAAGAACCTGAAACTATGACATTACAAAAATATTACTTAAGGCCTGTATTACCTCTTCATATGTATTTTATGGCAATACCAATTTTGTTCTGTTAAATTAAATTAATGGTACCTGCACCTTGTCGTGGTGGTGGGGCTCGAGTACCTCAGTGACCCCAAGAGCTATGCTGGCGGTAGCATAGCTACTGGTAGGGCCAGGGGGGGGAGGTCAGACTAAGACAGGTACCCCGGTCCTCCAGGTTGGGGGTTGGTCGCAAGGCTAACAACCTTGCACCGTAAAAAGGAAGATGTTTTGAAACCTCAATCAAAGCCCCGGACAGACGGACCTAACAGAGGACCGAATGCAAGAGGAGAACTGAGGAGGCCATGGACTGAACACGGACCGGAGAGTCATAGAAGAAGGAGAAGAAATTATTTAGATACTCACAATGTTACTGTGATGAAATTTGATAAATTCTTACATCCTTACAAATTCTTAGCACTGTCCAACAATCTTATTTAGTTACTGAACTACAGAAACCTCCGTCACCATGACTTGAACACAGGACAGATTTTTGTACCTGTTTCTTTGTTCTTGCAATCTCCCGATTGAAATAAACAACTTCAGTGTTGGCACCATTCTTCTATTGTGCCTAAATTATATCTAAATTACTACATGACGACCGGTGACAGAATAGTCGTCAAATCCCAGTCAGTCTAATGTTGACACTGAGAATGTGTTGAGGTTTACCTCCTGCCCTCACAGCATGTTCTTATGCACAGGCATCAAATACATATTTAAATATCATCCATTATGTTTAAGACAGAATATAAACTCACCTAATTCACAAGTTTCAACTTGTTTGGACAGAAGTGAACGAAGAGATGGCACACAAAATGAACTGAACATAGACACCACTGGAACTAAACAGAATAAATTATAATAAAATACAGTAATGAAATTTAACAGGAGTAAATTTAATTTATTTCAGCTTCCACATTTAAAATGATACAAAATTTGCGTTTTGATTTTTCACAAAAATAATGAAATGAGTACGTCTTTATAGGAATTCTGATACTCTCAGAAAACTGACAAGAATTTTCTCTCTCTGAATCCATTTACAGTAAAATTATTATTAAATTCACTTTCAGATAAACACAAGTTAAACATAAGGAAACCTATTTTCATAAAGAGGTTACTTACCAATAAACATCATTGTGTTTGTTGTACTAAATCCCAACACCACAAAACCAACCGCTTTGGAAACAATGCCAACAAGGCATATTATATGATCAGGTATTAAAAAGTAATTTAATGCAGGAGTTGCAAAAATTAGTACGAGAGATGCCAAAGCATATTTAAAACCAAAATAGTAACTGTAGGTTTGGTAATTCCACTTCAAAGGTTCATCTTTAGTGTAGAGATAGGTGATGTCCAATTCGCCTGTATGATCATTTAAACAAACAATATTAGTTACACTACACATCAAACTGCAAAACAAAATTAATTTTAAAACTCATTGTGTGCTTACATATTTAAAAATTTGACTCATAATTACAGCAGGTGAATTTAAGATGACCTCTGGATAATGATACTGTGCTAAAATAGTCCATTCCAATTTTGTGAACTGGACTAAAATTAATTTCTATAAAATAGCTTCAAAAACAGACTATATTGTGCTCAACTAACCCAATCTATCTTATTCAAAACTACACAAACCAAATCATATCTTATGAGAAAACCATTCTAGAACATGGTGTAATGTAGAATCTGTTGTATAAGCTGCACATTAATAATACAAAGGTACAGTCTTGTTTACATACCTGCAATGATAGTCATTATAATTAGACAACATGCTAAGAAACACATCAAATTAGCTCTCTTGCAACCATCCCTGGATCTGAAGCATGTTGTTATTGAGTCTCTGATATGAAAACAACTGCAATAAGAGCTGTCTGTCTCAGTTCCTACAACTTCACGCACAAACAATAACACATACGCTATAACAATCAAGTGAAAGATGAAGATGCAGCCAAACACTGCTGCATGACTTGAAACTGAAAGCAATCCCCCACCTGCAAATGGACCAATCGTTCCACCAATAAATGTCATAGCTTCTAGAACGGTCACTCGAGCAGTTCGACTATGCTGAGAAGATATGCTGGACACATAGCTAGTGACTGCCATGATGCAACTTACAAACCCACCAAATATGCCTGATATACCACTAGCAACAAGAATTGGCCATACTGGGCCAGATAAATTGCACAATGACATCCATATATACACAAGAGCACTAAGAAGGCCTCCTACTGATGGCAATACTAGTGGAAGTTTCCTTCCGAAACGATCACCCCAAGAACCCAAAACGTTCGCCGATATTATAGATGGCAAAGCTAATGACACAGTCGAGCTTAATATCCACATTGATGCATCATTCTGCACTGTATCAAGACATTCCGTGTATATGGGGTCATGAAGATTTTCACAAACTGTAACATTGAATGTTGTTCTACATACTTCCTCATACACCAAGTCTTGAAAAATTCCATACTGCATAAAAATTGCTAACATGTAAAAAAGTAATACTGGTTCAACAGTAATACTCTTAACCCACGCACAACATGCCATTTTCCCCCAAACTATTTTGTTATTAAGAATGAAAACACCGGTGAAAACGCTAAGAGATTATACCAGTAACAACACTTTCACTATGACAGCGTCAATAACACATTCAATTAGTTTAAGTTATATAATTTACTGGTAATATTACACCACATTACATGTTCCCATCCCAACAAATATTCAGCACTATGTAAAAAAAGGCACTGATTATTTCGCTCCCCTTGTAATGAGAGAATGAACCCTCTCTTCACTGAACTACACAGCGCATGGAAAATTTGGGTGAAAGTCCAAGTTGCTGATAACACTACGTCACTTTTAGTGTTTATCTTGTACTTCCCACCAAAACATTCCAAACATAGTTTATGCCTATTCATTTTAAAAGAAACACTGATGGTTTCAATTATCTCTGTGGCACTGATGACTGCTCATGACATTGTATGTAAGATGGAGTAGGCTATCTGTATATTTGATGCCAGAGGAGCACTGCAATGATGCTACTGCCAAGTAACATGTTTTTTGTCGGTTGTCATTAAAATGTGTATCTTTATACCCAACACAAAAAATTTAAGTCGAACGTTCGAAAAAATACAGTATCTAAAACGAAATTAATACGGAAACACTTTTGTATATTTCATACATGAAGCCACATTTCCAGTACTGCCAACATGAGAATGTAATCGTGTTATTAGAGGTATGATTGGTTTAGTATCACTCGAAGTGAGGTAATTTTTTTAGATAGAAGAGTTATACTTTACAGTCGGGACTACAGCAGTATTAGAACGTTGCTAAAAGCTGTATTTTTTGAAACCCGTGCAAGGAGCGGCTATTAAATGACATCTGTTTTGAAAGAAGGAACATTTGATTATAGGTTAGTATTGTTTTCAGATACCAACTTTGTGCATAAAGTAAACATTCTCTATTGAGTTTTGAAATTGGGATCGTATTTTGGAGATGGTTTTGTAAATCTGTAGGTGTATGTACTCATTCGATTTTCCGCCAAATTTAGAGTAATTTGTTTTGATTTATATGAAGCAGTGATCTAGTGATGCAATGGGTTCTACAGCAACGGTTGGAAGTTGGCAGAACTCACCAGAGACATTACTTCCATCTATTGGAATTTTATTTGAATTCCATGTGTATGTACCGAACTTGTTTTCGGTGGCTCAGTTATTAAAAAATCCCACTGTTATTGCACATGTACAACCTTTCCCCTCTATTCAATAATTGCCCACCATCACCAAAGGTTCAGTTCAGTTTTCCCTTGAATTTGTTTTGGCATAGTTTTTGTTTTGTATGTCCTTGAAATATCACCTAGGTCCTGAAAAAGGTGTACAATTAAGAGTTATTTTATTAGATTTTAAATAGTGTACAGTGAAGATTTGAGAAATTAGCGGGTTTTTTAATTGCTACACTTTGTTCTGCTCTAAATTAGAAGTCCCGGTGCATTGTTTGGAATTGGTTAAGTGTAAATACCCTAATGTATTGTTGCATATCTTCCCCTTTTCACATATGCCATTCTTCAATAAGAAGAACGTACTGCCTCTTCAGCCCTGAAAATGGAGGCATTATGTTCCACAAGTTTAGTTTTATTTCTCTGGAGCTGTACTTTGTAATCTGAAACAGTACGTATTAGAAAGTTGTAAATTGTCTAATAGATTACGTGCCGTATTCTTCAGGGTAAGTTCGGTCCTCAACAGGGATGTTAAACAGTTTGGAAAGAAACATCTCTTTGATGATGATGAAGAAACTTGCTGGAATTCTGATCAGGTAATTTATTTTTTGTTTATGAGTTATGCTATAAATGTGCATAAAATTGTACGTTGTAATATTTTCTTATTATATTTGAGGTTATGGTTGACAGCGGGTATATGTCCACATAGCATTACTACGCGGATGATCGACAGTGACATCTGTGCTACTCTTGAGAACCTCAGATGTAATATAAAATAGCAAATGGTTTATGATTTTAAAGAACACACATAACCCTACTTATGGCACCATAAGAAATTACAGGAAAATTGCGAATGTTTATTCAGTCTTTTAAGTATGGAATATATAAAATTTTCTATTTTACTTTTTACACAAATTACATGGTGGTTGGTTCCATTAGTGTGCACAGACAGGATAATCTCTAAGCTAAGTCTAAATGTTGGTGATAATGGCGTGTTGTCACAAATACGATAATTATTTCGGACATTGCCCATCATTATAAGTCTATCCAAACATGAAACTGGATCCCTATGTACAGTCATCTGCACCTTTTGGTTTTGATGGTGGATCACAGTATCGTTTTCCTCTTTATAAATATGTCAGCATAAACCAGACGTCACTCCACACACCAGGCCCTATTGGCTAACATGCGGCCAATAATACGAGTCTTGAGCGGGTATTATGGATGGGATCTCCTACAACCTCAGACCCTGAGGACGAGGACAAAGTTGGTTTTTTGAGATGGTGTTTTCTCCTTTAAATAAACCTGACGTGGCTGGTAGACCCGAGAAGAATTCATTATACTTCGTTGCCGTGAAAACTTCAGATCATACAGACCCTAGTTCAGTGCAGTGGCAGGGTACTCTGTGGATCACGCGTGATAGACATTTATAGTAGCAGAGATTTGAACATCACTTTCTGCCGTGATTTATCGAATAGTCACTTTTAGTTAAAATAGAACATTATATCTGTTAAATCTAAAACTTCTTGACGATGGTGAAGAGTCAATTGAATAAAAATTTACTTGGATATTATCCATCGTCTAGTAATAAAACGTAAAACGACGTTTCGGAGATGAGGCTCTATCTCCGTTTGCAAATTAAAAAGTGAAAGATAATATCCAAGTAAATTTTTATTCATTATATCTGTTGTGGGCAGCCAACTTAATATTTATAGTTAAACTATAGATATTGATTTGCCTTCTGGAAAAATAAAATTCCAGGTCAAATTTGAACTCTCTTGATACAAACAATGAAAAATAATGTACGTATAATACATAATATTGTAATTTTTATTTACAGGTGGTGATCTTCTGGGTTGTTGCACGTAAAGTATTTTGGCTCTGTGTCAACATTTCGGAGGAACATTTTATCACCATAATCCTCCGAAACAGTAGCATAAAGCCAAAATATTATATATGCAGCAACCCAGAAGATTATAAAGATATTGACACGAAATCCTAATTGTTCGTTAACAGGGATCACCACAGTGGATTGACCTTAATCTGCATAAGAAACAAACCATAAATACGTTCCACATTCAGTTTCAAGGTGGTTTTGTTGGTCGTGACTGTCATCTAGAAGCTGGATTTGAAGACGGATCACTGGAAATAGTGGAACATTTTTATCCCGAAGATATAAATTCTTTGCAGATATTCAAACTGAAAAAACCTATTTCCGCTAAACATCTAAGGTTTGTTTTTAAAGGAAGCACAGACTTCTTTGGTAGAATAGTTATCTATAAGTTGGAAATCCTAAGTACAACGTGATAATGTATTAAAAATATGTATTCTGTAATCTCAACATTTAAATACTGTGAAATATATTAAATGTCCTTACAACCAATAAAATTGTTTACTGTTATTGATGAGGTAAGTTCAGGTACTGAGATTTTGTAGATATGATATTTCGAACTGAAATTTGGTTGGTAAGAAATATTACCGTCTGATTTATAAGAACCTGAAAATTAAAGTATACAAAACAACAATTTTGCCTGTTGCTATGTATGGGTGCGAAACATGGTCTCTCACTAAGAGAGAGGAACACAGATTGCAGGTGTTTGAGGAGGATATTTGGGCCTAGGAGAGAAGACGATGGGGCGAGGAGAAAACTGCATAATAATGAGCTTAAAAATCTGTTCTCCTCACCCAGTATTGTCAGGGTGATTAAGTCGAGAAGAATGAGATGGGCTGGGCATGTAGCACGCATGGATGGGACAAGAGGTGTGCACCGGGTATTGGTTGGGAAACCTGAAGGCAAGAGACCGCTGGGGAGACCTAGACGTAGATGGGAGGATAATCTCAGGCGGGATATATGGGAGATAGGAGTTGAAGGAGACTGGATTTTGTTGGCCTAGGACAGGGTCCGGTGGAGGGCTTTGGTTAATTCGGTGATGAACCTTCGGGTTCCCTAAGCCATCTAGTTGGTTGGGTCCACTATTTGGGAAGCCTGAGGGGAGGAGACCCCTGGGGAGACCTAGACGTAGATGGGAGGATAATGTCAGGCGGGATCTATGGGAGATAGGAGTCGAAGGAGACTGGATTTTGTTGGCCCAGGACAGGGTCCGATGGAGGGCTTTGGTTAATTCGGTGATAAACCTTCAGGTTCGGTAAGCCATTTAGTTAGTTAGTTAGTTAAGTTATATTCACATGTGACAAAGCAGTGACTTTGTACCTTTCAGGACTCCGAGGAAGAATAATTGTCCAGCCTCAGATTGTAGATTACAGGAACTATTGACTTCAGAACTTAAATATCCTTTACACCATTTGTTTTAATCCACCCAACGACAGCATTATGCACTAGAGGAATTCAAAACCAGGGGTTAAAAGGTTACTGACCCTAGTTAAATGGTTTTTTTATAGCTCTGCATATCAGATTAACACAAGGTGCGAACTTATAGAATCTGTCACTAGAACATACACGTTTTTATTTGTAAGGAATGGATCAATTACTATTCTGAAGTCTTGGAAACAGTTTTTATTGTGTGACTCTGTAATGCAGGAAGGTTGGTTCTTTGGCGTGAATATCATTGATGTTTTTAACTTGGATAAACTGAATGTATGCGAAATAAAGAAATAATCTATAAATCATCCAATGAGATTTACTGCTTCTCTAAATCGAATTTCAGTACGTCCTTTACTGAGACGTTAACTACAGCCTTCTGCCTTGGTGGTACAGCCTGGTGCACGCCTCAACTGTTTCTCAGTTGATTCCTAACTAACGCTTTAGTCTTCAACTCTCTTGTTCCAGAAACCTATAGATCTTGTTCAATGCTGTCCAGCCTCGTTCTTACGATATTTTCAGACCTTGTGAAAGTTATTTTCCTGCAAAAATTAACATCTTTTTTATCTAAACAGTTATCCCAGCCACCTAAGTCTTCCTGTTATTATCACTTTTATTAAGTCTGTCTCCTCATATATTTGGTATAATTTATGATTTGGCTGCATCTGTAACTCCACAAAGATACTCTGTTAGAAGGTAGTAAGTAATTTTGGTGTAGAATGCAGAGAAAATTAAATAGACCCTAATATTAATGTCTTGTCATAGAAAATGAGACAAAATCATAATATGAAGATAGGTAATAGGTTTTCAAGTTGAAAAATATAAGTAGTTTGGAATCACATTAACAAATCATGACGAAGCCAAGAACAGAATATATTCACAGAATGCTCACTAACGTTCAATTTAGAATTTTTTACAACTCCCACAGCCTATTTCAAAACCTACTTTATTATTTAGGCCTATATGTGTGTGAAATTCGTTCTTGAAGTATTATTAGCGTACGAAAATAAAGGATGATGAGATAGACAGGTTATGTAGCATGCATTGGGATTCAAACGGCGTCTAAATGTAAATTGCCTTTGATTCAAGACCAGTCAAATGCAGGGTAAGAGATGAAACCCCTAAGTTAAGACCAAAGTATGATAAAGTGTCTCCTGCAACGTTAAATCAAAAAGAACTTGGGCAAAAGACAGCTCCAGCACAACTCCATCTACTGCGGACCGAATCACGCGGGTTGTCTAGTTCCTAGGAAAAAAAATCTATCTACAGACAAACTTGATGATAAGTAACGTTTGTAGTTGATTTAATGTTTTAAACAACCTACGATTCAACAAGTTTAATCGTAAGACAAGACATTTTTATAGGAAGGGTATAAATAAATTTGATTATTAATATAAATATCGCTAAATAAACCAAAAAGATGTATACACATAACTGTTACATACATTAGTATACATCTTTTGGGGGTATTCTGTATATAAACATAAGCGTATACAAAATTCTGTGACCTGGTCATTCCGACGTCAAAGCACGAGACAAATGGGACTGTTTTTTTTTAAAGTAACATCGTTTAAAAACATGCCTCTAGAATCTGCATACGTCATTTGTAGTAGCTGATAAACTTTTTTACTTCAATGTTTAGAAATCAGCTGATTGAAGAAACGAAACGAGATAACATCATTCAAATTACGCATCACAAACAAATTGGAACGAATTCTCGCAAGTGCATGAAGATGTTGTGGTTATCACTGGAGTGACTAGCGAAGGGAATTTTGTCTCTCTCTTAAAATTTCTATCTTCTGCCTGTACAGTCGAGAACAATGACCCGGATTATTTACTGTAACAGAACAGCTTTCAGATAATTTACATCAACTTCAAGAATGATTGATATTAATTGTTCTGAAATTTTAGGTTCTCACGGCAGCTAGTGAAGGAGTAGCTGTCGTCTGGGTTGTTGCGCCGTGAAATATGATAGAAATCTATCAACGTTTCGGAAGTATTTCGTGCCTCTATCATCAGTGTGATGACTATTGATGATGGAAGAAATGAGAATCTTTAACACGTTGGTAAACTTCTACTAGATTACATAACCCATAAGACAGGTGTCTTAATAAACAACCCACAAATAAATAAAAAAACAAATTTTGCAAGTTAAGAAACTTTAATGTTAGAAAAATAGTTTCGAATTATTTCTTTTGTACTATTAGTTTTCTTCCTGGGGTCTCGGGTTCGATTCCCGGCGGTGCCCGAATTTATAACTTGTGTTGGGCAAGGCCGTGGTCTAGGCAACACGGAGTTTTCCTCCGTGGCATCCCAAAAGTTACTCCATTCACACACAGAAGAAGGCAATGGCAAACCACTTCTCGATCATCTGCCAAGAACGTATATGAACAGATCCCAGTCCGAGAAAAGGATGGAAGGAGCCTGTTCATATGGACCTGTCGTCAGACAGAACACAAAATAAAATAA